TTATAGGGTTTAGGGTTTGGGGTTTCAGCTCGGGCCTCTTCGCAAGTCTGGCTGCAAGTCCCGGCACGGGCCGTAGCTGGGGCTCACCAGCTTTGAGCAACACCTGGGAGTTCTGTTCTGTTTAGGGTTTAGGGTTTAGGGTTCTCTAAACTAGGGTCCATTTTGGGGGTTCCTTTTTTTAGGGTGCTCTACCATATTGGGGACCTGGGTTAGTTCTCTAAACTAGGGTCCATTCTGGGGTTCCTTTTTTTTAGGGTGCCCTACCATATTGGGGACCTAAAAAGGGGCCTTAACTTAGAGAACTACCCACCTCGCACAGCCGGGCATTCATCTCATCCGGCGTCGTGGCCGACAAACGGAGAATGTCTTCAAGGAACTGATCATCTTCCTGGAGCCATGCCGACAAATCCTGGGCTCTTGTTTGAGGAGCTTAAGGGTTTAGGGTTTATAAGGGTTTAGGGACATGCTGACAAATCCTGGGACTCTTGTTCCAGGAACTTAAGGTTGGTTAGCCGTAATAAGGAAGCCATCTCATTTCATCTACATCCCTGTTATAGTAACCTCATCCAAAATCCTTTAGATTTAGCCCTAGACCCTTTCCCGTAAACCCTACCGAGTTTAGGGTTTGGGGTTAAAGGGTAGCGAGAGCCCAGAATCCAAGACATGAGTGCGCTGGCGATGACGGTGAGGGTGTTGGGCGAAGCGCCGGGCCCTTCGCATCAGCGTCTCTTGCTCCAGGTTGTGCTCCATATACCTATACTTCACTTGCAGCGCTTGCACGAATTATGGTTTTAGCGTTTGTTAGGGATTGTTGTCATCAAAAATCATTTCTATTTTTACACCTAAGATACTGGAGAAACTGCAGAGCTTGTCCTGTTTCAACAGCCGCCTTAAGCTTCGCATGAAAGGCTTCCTTCTTCTCCTGATCCCACTGGCACCTCACCACGCTCAGCGTCTGCACTTTCTGATCCAGGGAGCCGCCTTTCTCACAGAGTTCGCCATTGACGAAAAGCTGCATACTGGAAGGGTGGTGACCTGTTTGCGATTGGATACTACACTTCAGCTCCGACAAAGTCATCTCCTCTTCCAGGGAACATCCCACACTTTCTGCGGCCAATGTCAAGATCTTGATGGGACCATCACTTGGCCGCAGTAAGGGGTCACCTTGGCTGACTTCTACACCCCTCCTAAAAGTTAAACTTTTAGCCTCCTTATTGTGGTTCATATAGAAACCCAAAAAGTTAAAGTCCTAAGAGCCAACCAGAAGAAAGCCAAGTCACTGTCGTGAGGCTCGGTGCGGGCCGAAATGTCACCAGTGTGACCCGCAGCCGACAGCAAGCCTAAACCATCTTCCACCATCGTCCAACGCGGCCACTGCATGCCAGGTTGAGAGCTAATCTTAATTCCTACCTGGACCCCAAAGAACCTACCTTTTCCGGGTTCCAGATTCTGATTTCTTTATATAAGTCCTTACCCCAAACCCAACACCCAATCCGGATCCAAGTGCTGCCGCTTCGGTGTTTTTTATTCTATTTTTTTTGGGGGGGGTGGGGGGGGAGGGGGGGGGCTTTTTACCACCCGCTTCGATGGCTTGAGGTTTAGGGCTCTGGGTGTAGGGTTACAAGTTTTTTGGGCTAAGTGCTGGGGCCACCAAGGATTCTCGGGGGGCGGGCAAAGTCTTTCATTTTCATGTCGGGGTGTCCGTGTTGGATGCAAGCATTTTAGGGTTTAGGGTGTAGGGTTTAGGGGCTTAGGGTTTGGGGGTTTAGGGTTTAGGGAGGCAAGGGGGGAGGGTCCTAGGGAGCTTTAGGAAACCTAAGGTAGTACTAGGGAGAATTGGGGATTACTGGGTTATATACCCTGCTTAGAACCCCCTCCCTTAAGGATTCCATAACATGCTGTTGAACCGATGAAATAGAGCTTTGCACCCGGTCTCTCGTTGAGTCCGGGACTGGGAGTTTAGGAATACAAGGTTCGTTTACGACTCTGGGATCAAAGCGGAATCGTCCTTTCCTGCTGGCAGAAAACTGTGCTGCGCACAGAGTACCGGAAGGACTCCGGAAGGACCCGACACCGTACACGAGTCCACGAATGTAAGCTTCAACCCATCCTTCCCAACCCTGGTTCCTACGTTTAAGTTCGATTTCGGGCCCATTCAAGACACTTGCCAGTCTCTTTGAGTGGGCGTATGAGAGAGTACGGCCGCTGTGCCAGGATCCGGGCAAGTGCAGGTGCTTACTTCTGAAGATTCAATGACTAAGGCTCCACAAGGAATGTAGGTGCAAGTCTAGCTGCATCACCGCGCGGTTCATGCATGTACGTGGACATGTCAAACTGCGCATGGAGGTGTATACCTCAAAGTGCAGATCGACAGACAAAAAGATGGAGAGTGCTGCGAACATAAAGAGAGGAAAGGATGTACTCAACACTCCCTGACGCCTAGGAGGACATATAATTAGCTCCATAACAAGACCCGTCGGCCAGCACACAAGCATGATACTTTCTTCTGTACAGGTATTTGTGCATGCCCGCATGTCCATATATGCAGAAACACAAGCGACCAGAAGCTGCAAGCATGCATTGACGCGTACACGCATGTGTCTGTGCGTGCGTGTTAGATACAGCAGTTTGTGCTTGTTGGGTTTCTGTCCATGTCTCTCCGTGACGGAGTACACCAATGAATGCATGTCATAGGGGGCTTAACAGTGTCAATAGGGTGCAGGGCTCGTTTTTGGTATGTTAGAATAATCAACCTAAGACATGATATATTCAGGGTTTAGGGCTTAGGGGTTTAGGGGTTTAGGGTTTAGGGCAATTAATTGTTCTTCTACATCATGTTTCGAGTCCCACAGATTCCCTGCAAGGCCCTCCAAGGCTTGTATGGTCACCATACTCTAAGCTACCAAAACCTAGCTGTTTGTAGGATCGTTTTCAAGTCAATGTTAGGGTTTATAAGCAGGACCTACAAAAAAAGTAGGTTACGGTAGTTTAAGGCACCCGAAATCCTAAACCCTTACTAAAGTCTTCCCATCAAGCACGGATGAGGAGCAATGGTGAGACTCTTGTGGAAGAGCCAGTGATGATGTGAGAGAAGCTTCTTGAAAGGTACGTCGCTAAGGGCAGCCTATGACTTGCAGGGATCGAGGGTTCTGGGGATTAGGGTTCAAAGTTCTCAGAGTCCATGTTGCTTGCATGGAACGAGTTCCAACTGAGGAACCAGCCCCCGCTACTAGCCGGGCCCCCTGGATGGCGTGGGCCTTAAACTACGCCAGCGCCGCCGAGTGCGTTTGCACATCTAGGTATCAGGCGCTGCGGGAAAACACCGAACACTTGGAGGCCCAAGGAACTTAGTAAGTAGATTATAAGTAGAGTTATAAGTACCCTAACTGGAGTTACCCCCAATTATAACCCTATTTATAATCGACTTACTAAGTCCCCTGGGCGGGCCTCCAAGCAGGTATGGGGACACCAAGCCAAACTTGCACGAGCTTGGTGTCACGATTCGCCCGGATTCTTGTTAAGGAACCTGGGTTACTGTAAGGGTTACTACAAGGGACACTACATGGGTTTCTATAGGGTTTAGGGCTTAGGTTTAGGGTTAAGTTCTTGTTAAGGAACTTGGGTTACCATAAGGGGTACTATCAGGATTAGTTTGGGGTTTAGGGGTCAGGCATTTAAATGGAGCTACCATTGTCGGGTTCCATAGTAAACAATATGGTGTCCTTATCATGGTAACTTCAATCTAAACTTTAAACCCTGAACCATAAACCCCTAAACCCCTAAACCCTTGAACCCTAAAGCAAAAGTCCTTAACAAGAACCTACCCTAAACCCTAAACCCTAAACCCTAAACCCTAAACCCTAAACCCTAAACCCTACGACCTCATTAGGCCGCCAGTCCTAAGGGGACGGCCGCTGCAGAAAAACTTCCCGACAAGTGTAGACGGCTGGGGCTTCAGGGTTTAGGGTTTAGAGATTTGAGGATTCAGGGTTTAGGGCTTAGGGTCTCAGGCTTCAGGGTTTAAGGTTTAGGATTTAGGGCTTTGGGTTTAGGGTTTTAAGGCTTTCGGGTTTTAGGGTTTAGTGGGGTTTCGGGCGTAGGCTTTACGGCTTGAGCTTGAGGGTGAAGGGCAAAGCTAGAAAGTTCAGGATGCTTTGGGAACCACCATCACCCAGCTGTCACTTATCGAATGCTCGCCTCCCTCTCACAGCAACCTTGGACGACAGGAAGAGGAAGCCACCCTAGACCACAAACGCTAAATCCTAAACCCCTAAATCCATGAAACTCTAAACCCAGCCCTAACCCCTGAACCCCTAAATCCCCAAACCCTAAACCAAAAAACCTTGAATCCCTCAACCCTAAGCCCTGAACCCCCAAAGAAACCCATGAACCCCTAACCCCTGGACCCCAGAACCTGAACCCTTCGTCCGACCCAGTATCCAAGGGGAACTTCAGGCTAAAACCCCCTTTGGGGCTTTAGGATGAGGGTTTAGGGCTTTGGGTTTACCCTCTTTGGGGTTTATAGGGGTAGCTCTCTAACTTAGGATCCCTTTTAGGGTCCTTTTTATAATAGGGAGCTGTACTATTTGTGGGGCTCAGAGGAAGGGATCCGAATTTAGAGAACCACCCCTTTAGGGAAGATATAGGGTTCAGGGTATAGGGAATATAGTAACCCTAAACCTAAACCCTAAACCCTAAACCCTACCAGAAAGGGTGAACGGTTACCTGCTCTACTACCAAGTAGCTCCCTAGCGGTGTTTTGAATTTTCTGAAAGCCCAGGCCCCGAAAATTGGGCTCGGGTACAGATAGAATCATCTTGACTGAGAAGCGCGTTGTTTTTTCGTGACATGTCCCTCTAAAAATCCTAGAATCCTAAACCCTACGAGTGACGTTCTCTTCATTTGCAGTGCTTTCATTTAGTTGGTTTGCTCCAGGTTCGGGTTGGACTTCTGCTTTAATTTAACCCTTAAGCCCAGTACCCTGGCCCAAAAAAGTTTAAACTTTTCTTTTAGTAGGGGGCTTAATATACCAAAAAGTTTAAAGTTTACCTACTGGGCTCCTAAGTTAAGGGGCTGTGAGGTTTCGGATCTAGAGCTTGATGGCTTAGAGTTGCATGTTTGCGAAACCATGCTGGGGAGAACTTATGAAAGGCCATGAAAGGACCGCCCCTGATGGACCGAACAGTTCTAAAGAAACCCTTCCGACTTTTTGGAACGAGTTGGGGATAAGGCTCTAGCTTCTAGGTTTCGTGCTTTGTTTGTGAAGGGTTGAGGTGTTGCGTGTTTTTGTTTTCGTTATGCTTTAGGCTTGGATTTGCGGTGTTTTGAGCGATGGCTGAAGTTTCTCATTTTGGTGCCTTGCGGGCCAGATTCCTACAGGTCTCCAACCCTTTATCCTCAATCCGAGCTGTATCCTTAAACTCAAAAGCGCAAAAGCCCAAGCAAACGGACATTCTTCACATTCCGTATTATGTTCTCCATATGAGGGTAGGTCTTCCGGGGTAAAAGTAGACCTTCAGCTTGCAGACTCTGAGATGAAACAACAAAAGCAAGAGCGAGAAAACGGGCCTAGCATTGGGTAGTTCTCTAATTTAGGATGCCATTTAGGGCCCGTTTAAGGGGGTGCCGTACTATTTGGGGGATCCAAAAGGGACCCTACTTTAGAGGACTACCCATTTAGGGGGTTCTCGAAGTTATGTAAGGTGGCAAAGAAGCGTAATTAGCAAATAACTTGTAAAGAACCTAAAAGCCCCATAAGACCCCCCTGAAAGAAACTACGAGCCCTGCAAGACACCCGAACTCCCTGGCATTGATGGCGGGGCACAATTGAAGCGTGCCAGGAAATTCAGAGCCTCAGCTGACGCAGGCTTGAACTCGATTCCCGTTAGAAGGTGAGGAAAGACTCATGCTTGGAGATCCTTATACTGGAGAGCATAGCACCACATAGTAAACCCTAAGCCCTAAACCAAAGTAGCAAACGAAGAACAAACCCAAGAGCCTCAAAGTGAAGGTTTCATCTAAGCTGTAACTAGAGGGATAGTTGTCAAACCGTGCTCCATAAGGCCATCGGGTCCCCTTTTTTTCCCACCCGGGTCCCCTTAGGGTTTAGGGTTCAGGTTTTTAGGCTTCAAGTTTTTGTTTTTGCATCTGGTCCCCTAACATGTGCACAGCTGTAGAAACCCCCACAGCTGCTGCCTGATTCCTGAAATCTCCCTAGTTTCATGATAAATGAGCCGCTCATTTCTTATGTGAGGTCCTACAGCTTACGCTTCCAGAATAACCATCATCATAATAATAGTCATTATCATCAACCCTCCCTAAACCCATCATCATCATCATCGCCATCATCAACAACATCACTATTGTCATCATCATCATCACCATCATCATCATCACCTTCTTCCACAACATCATCATCATCATCATCACGATCACCATCACCATCACCATCATCATCATCATCACCTTCATCCACAACATCATCATCATCACGATGACCATCACCATCACCATCACCATCACCATCACCATCACCATCACAACAACAACATCAACACCAACACCAACACCAACACCAACACCAACACCAACACCAACACCAACAACAACACCAACACCAACACCAACACCAACACCAACACCAACAACAACAAAAACAACAACAGCAACAGCAACAGCAACACCACCACCACCACCACCAACAACAACAAAAACAACACCAACACCAACAACACCACCACCACCAACAACAACAACACCAACACCAACACCAACAACAACAACGACAACACCAGCAACAACACCAACTCCAACACCAACACCAACACCAACACCAACACCAACACCACCACCACCACCACCACCAACAACAACAACAACAGCAACACCAACACCAACACCAACAACAACAACAACACCACCACCAACAACAACAACCACA